GCGTAAATTCTAATAACACACCTTTCACTTTTCAATATTTTTCTTAAAAACGTGAAAGTCAAAGTGGGACAAATTTTATGGGATGGAGAGAGTGCATCAAGAATAAATTAATGGTCTTTTTTTATTAAAAAAACATATGTTTACATTTCTTGATTTTATTTTTGTCTTGTTTCTGAGAAGTGAGAGTAGCCATTGAAGGCAGATGGTAAAATATTCTTGATTACAATATTTTGCAGATTTGATTGGTTAGGTCATTGAAGGTTGATACAAATGCATAAAGGGCGTCTCCACTCACTTCAATTGGGGTGAAAATGGTTTTGGGTTTTCACCTCAGTAAATATAAGATGACTGCGAGGAACAAAAGAATAAAGCTTTGTTTTATATACAGAATACACAGATTGGATACATCATTCAGTCATTTGTATTTTGTACACACAGACTGTAATATCACTTCTCCCTTTTCTTGTATAATATAATATTTATAGCTGATTTAGTATAAAAAAAGAAGTATGAACTTCATCCCCGAGGCCTCCAATCTCGTTCTATCTTTGGTTTGCATATCGTGATTGCCTCCGAGTGCGATTCAGGTCTATCCCCTTCCAGATAGTTGAACTACGGTCACTGGTAAACTGTAAAATATCTTATGTCGAGTAAATGGGAGCTTGAAATGACAGGAGATTTGTTTGGCGAGCGGAACAAGGTTGATACTTTTTCAGCTTTGAAATCTAGAACAAATGTTACGGATTTTAAAATTTCGAATGGAAGTATTTGAGGGCATCTAAAATGATGATTGTTCGTGATAGTTGTTGGCGATTGAGGGAGATATGAACATTTTCTATTGATACAATTGAAATTCGGGAGATTAAATTTGAATCATGGTTAGGTTTTACCGAACATTCATAAAAGAATTTTGATATCAAGAAATATTAGAATACATATCTACCCTAAACATACCATGATTTTCTTTCACTTTCGATCTTGTTCATGCATGAACTTCATTTCTAAATCGTTACCTCTTATCAATTGTTTTCCGCCCCTATTTTTGTAAGAATGTATAGATTTCAATTTTCTCATTTCAATCACGATCTTAATCTCAGTTAACAAAATTTAGTATAAACTCCAAAGTTTTCAAGTCAGGCCCATAGACAAATAAATTCAGGTCTAATCTCGGTTAGCAAAGGTTGTATAAACACCGAAGTCTTCAGGATTAGGGGCACTTTTGGAAAGTCAGAGCCATATTTACTTGTCCTTTAAAAATGAGCTCTAGTCAAACCGAGAACAAAGTTTTAGGAGGGAGGTGATGAAATAGATTAACCTAAAGGCAAAAAATTCAACTAATTCACATTCCTAGTAGAATTTGAGAGTGATAAAAACATAAAATGGATTTCATTATTATCATCAACACTACTTGAAGAAGCTTTCCCATATTCCCACCTACACAGACCAACATCTAACATAGTGGAATCAAAATTTTACAACTGTAAAATAAATCCCAAGAAACAAAAAAACAAAGAGAAAATCAATAACCCAAAAACAAGCATGAAACGTGACCGGAGTAAATAGTAAAAAAGAATAACCTTTAGAATTTGGTTCTTTAGACACCTAACCCCGAGTGTCTTAATATGACATAAGATTCATTTGAGGACCATATCATGCTCCATTAAAGCCCATGGTTCCTACCCTCTACCCAGTCCTCCTGTGTGGGAGACAATCCATTGTCAGATTAGTCTTCCACGTGGGGGCTGGGATGTGGAGGGTGATCTAGAGTGGCTAGAGGGTGGATAGAAACCACTTCAGAGTCAATCCTCAAACGCACCCGGTGTCATATTATGACACCGGGGTTAGGTGTCAAAGGAACCTCAATGTAACCTTTAACCATGTTTGGCCATGAATTCCTTCATGAAAGCAACAAGCTTTTCAACCCCAGCCAAAGGCATAGCATTGTAAATGGAAGCCCTCATCCCACCAACTGATCTATGCCCTTTGAGCTGCACCATCTTCTCAGCAGCAGCTTTCTTGATGAACTCGCCTTCCAATTCTGGTTCACGCAATGTGAAGGGCACATTCATCAGTGACCTCACAGATTTCTCAACTGGGCATTTGTAGAACCCATTGCTTGAATCTATTGCATCATACAAGATCTCAGCTTTCTTCCTGTTCTTCTTTTCCACCTCTGCTAGCCCACCCTGGGCCAACAGATCCTCAAAAACCAACCCACACATGTAAATGCCATAGCAAGGGGGAGTGTTGTAGAGGGAATTGTTATCTGAGTGGATCTTGTAATCCAGCATTACTGGCGTCTTTTCTTGGGCGTTTCCGATCAAGTCTTTGCGGATGATCACGATGGTGACGCCGGAAGGGCCTACATTCTTCTGGGCTCCGGCGTAGATGATCCCGAACTTGGTGACGTCGACTGGTTTGGAGCAGAAATTGGAGGACATGTCTGCAACAAGAAAGGCGGATGGGTTTCTGGGTGTTGGGTAGTTCTTGAATTCCACTCCGTGAATGGTTTCATTGGCGCATATATGCAAACACTTGGCGTGCAAGCTCTGTTCTATGGCGTCGAAGTTAGGGATTGTTGTGAATTTGTTGGGTTTTCCGGTCCAGATTAGATTGGGCTTGCAGTACTTGGCCGCCTCCTTGAAGGCCTTGTCTCCCCAAGATCCGGTGACGATGTAATCCACCGCGTCTTCGGGTGAGCAGACGTTGAGGGGAACGGCGGAGAATTGGGTGGTGGCGCCGCCCTGGAGGAAGAGCACGGCGTAATCCTCCGGGACGTTGAGGAGAGCCCGCAGATCCGCCTCGGCTTTCTGGATGATCGAGAGGAACTCCTTCCCACGGTGGCTCATTTCCATGACCGACATGCCGGATCCGCGCCAGTCGACAAGCTCATCCCGGGCCTTCCTCAGGACGTTGACGGGAAGAGTGGCGGGGCCCGCCGCGAAGTTGAAGACGCGATCTGGTGAGGCGTGCGATGCCGGCTGAGCCTGGACGGCGGATGCTGCCGTGGCGGCTGAGCTGCAGGTGATTCTCGGAATCACCTTGCCGGCGGCGGCGGAAGTGTTGGTACAGGGGAAGGAGTTGGCGGATGGGAAGGTGGCGGAATTCAGATGGCGGTGATGCAGGTTGATGGGATTCCCGAGGGCGGCGGTGGCGGACATGGTGGCCATGTCTAGGCTCCTCCGGCAGAAGAAGCTTTAATTGTGGTTTGTTAATGGAGATGTAATCTGTATGGGTGTGTATATATGTAGGTATTTGGTTTGGCAGATGGGGGTGGCGGTGGTGGTGGTAGGAAGGGAAGAAAATGACTTCCCTCCGTCTGGTTTGTTGTGGGACCCCCGGAGTAGGTGGAGTGGTCAACGAGGGCGCTTTGACAATAATTTTTTACTTTTAATTTTAACATTATGAAAAAAAATACTCCCTTCGCCCACAAAGAAATTTTGTATTGCGTATTATGATGTTTGACTGAAATTATTTTTAAATTATTTTATATGAAAAATACTGTAAAATTTTAAAATAAAAATTACATATTAATAATCATTATCGTCTGGGTCTGCTTTAATGCAAAAGACATCGTCGCAAATAGAAGGACATCTCTTCGTCCAAGAATTCTCTTTCGAGATTAATTCCACATATTAAAAACAAAGAACATTTTCACATTTATCATTGAATACATAGTATTAAATAAAAGTGAATACAAAAGGATCAAGTGACATTCAACCCGAATGTCATACTCTTTAACTCCAATTAGGGCTCTTAGGGTGTCCTTTTCAAAAATTAACAACTCCAAACTGTCATGACCCCCTCCCCCCACGAGCAAATTCCTTCACCCCAGCTCGATCCGAGTTGACTTCATCTACTTCAGTGGCATTCTCTATATTTAATTGATTTTGAAGTACAATCGAAAATGCATGGAGTTAAGAGGGTTGTGGGTATGAGTCATTACGTTTTTGAATGGGGCACCATTGAAGTCGTAATATTGGGGCCAATATCAATCATTCAATCTTATGACATCCAAATTTAATATCATGATTTCCTATGTTATGGAAATCTTGCTCAAGTGAATAATTTATGTAAAAATTGATAATTTTACAATAAAAAACATTCACATCAATACTTCTAAATTTGATAGAATATACAATGTTACTTTTAGATTTTATTTTTCATGCCAATTCTCTAAGAAATTATCTCATCTTACATCGTTACTTCACTCCAATTGAATCAGCTTTAGGCTTATTTTTTATTTCATACTCCATAACATTTTTTTAAACTTTAAAGAATCAAATCGAGATAATTAATTCAAGATGAAGTAAGTCCATAACTAATTCAATAATTCTAATCAATTCCACTCATTAAAATGGATTTTGCAATACGAAATCGTGAGCCCAATGAATAGGATTAAGCTATTTGTACATCAGAACTTGTACCCCAAAAGTATGCACCGACATTTTATGCTAATATGATGCTAGTGTGATTTGACAAAAAATGTCAATATAATTATTTTTATTTGAACTTACATTTTATACTAGTGTGAGCTATTAAAATATCTGTGTATTTTTTTGAATATAACTAGCACTTGATAAACCAAGTGTATCCCTACCATGCTTGCAAATTGCAATGGATATTACTCCGTAAGATTTGAGAAATGCATCCATTGGATACCATAATTGGGTGCTGGGCCACTGTTCAAAATTTGATTTGGAGAATTTACTATGTTTTTTTATCACATTACAAATTTTGATCATTTATTTTTAAAAAGCATATATATTTTCATTATAATGTAAATAATATTAAATTCATTTTAAGATATACTCTGTAATTTTAATATATCAACTTTTAATAACATTCTCTATTTAAAATTATATTTATTAATGATGAAAATGTGTAAGAAGCTATCAAAAAAATCAAACATAAAACAAATTTGGGTTATCTATATATGCTAGAATAAAAAAAATGAATAGAAATAAAAGCAACATGATAGAGTAGAGAGAAAAAAGAATTATGAATTTCACTATTTATTTCAAGTAGAAATAGAAATACAGTTAGAACTGATCATCCATGGGAAAGGCAACTTCTAAATCACCCCTTAGTGCAACACAAACAGTTGCTTCTATCTTCAACTTTCTTTCTTTTTTTTTTGAAGAAAAAAAATATTATCAATCCAATAACATCCCAACCAAATCCAAGCATAATAGAGCAAAAAAAACCATTTAGAAAAAAGTTATTTTTTTATAGGTAGGAGAAAAAAATAGGACTATTGATGTTCTTCTTGATCTTTCTGGACAAGAAGAAAAGTTGCAGGCTCACATTTAGCTACATGCCCAAATCTTGAAGTGTTGTACTTTCTGTACACTCCTGTCAGTTTCCCTGTTCCTGCCCTTTGATGGAAGCTCACCATCATTCTTGAGCTCTCCCTGTTGTCATCCATCCAACCCAAGGACAAAATCGTCAAAAAAAAAGAATACCCTTATTACCCTTATTCCCATGGAAAAATTCGATCTTTTTTTTATTAAAAAAATGAATAACAAAATGTGTCATTTTTTTAAAGTTGAATGAAGAAGCTGGGTGCTTGCTTACAGAAGTTGAAGTTCAGAGTAGCCAGTGTGCCATTGACATGTCTGGTTCCATTCCTTGTGGCAACAATGGAGTGTGCATTGTGCAGTGTAGACTGCAGCAGCAGCCAAAGAAGATGGGGAGTATTTGGTCATTTCATACTCCACTAGGCACAGCTCAATCAAGAACAAAGCCAGCAGCTCCAGCTGTTATTATCATCATTCCAAATACTCCGCATTATCAGTCTGTCTAGGCACATATGTATATTTGTATATGTGTAGAATTTGAAGTAACAAAAAAAAAAAAGAAACCTTTTTATCAGATTGAGTGGCCTTGAGGAATCTTCTGAGAAAGACATAGGGAGTTGGGAGAGACATATTGAATTGCAATGTGTTGAGCATGCAGCTCTCCTGCACAAAAAAAATGTGTTTCACAATTCACATTAAAAGTGTTTGTTTTCGAGCCCAAAAAGGATGACACAAGGAAAGAAAGAATTTTGGAAGAAAAGAGAATTTGGGATTTCTCTAAAAAAACAAATTTAGAAGTTTCTCTACTCAATAAAGACTGAAAAGTCTAAAATAAGGTCAAAATTTTTCATTCCAAGCACATTCTTTTTCTTACTAATAATAGACTAACCATGTCAAGAACTTAACTTCTTTCTTTGTTTGTGTGAGTAAGCTAAAGGTCAAATAATAGAAACTTCTTAACAAAACTTTTATAATATAGAGATTAAAAAATTTGAGCATTTTTCTGCATTCCAAACACAACCTAATTCTTGTCCTTACTGGTAAGAAGTGCTACTTATTAGAACTAACCATGTCAAGAACTTCTTTCTTGGTGTAAGCTTTAGCAGAGATGAATACAAAGTCATCCACAACTGGAACAGAAACCTCTTCATACTTGCAAGCCAAGAGCATGGCAACAAGTCCAACAAGCTGAAGCTTTTTCCTCACAACACTTTGTTTCTCCAAGAATCTGTCTATGATGTTTATGGTCAAAAACAGTGTTTCTTCCCTCAGTTCAAACTTGTGGTGCACCTGTTTGGCATGGCCCCAAAAAAAGAAAGAGGGTAATTTTTTTTAGTAATATTACATGAGATGAGGGGTAAATTTTTTGTATTTGATTTTTGAAGTTAAAAAAGTTACCTCAATGAGCCAGTCAATAAGAATAGCCCTCATCTTCTCATTGATGTCAAATTGTTTTGACATGTAATCTGGAGAAACACAGCTACAGTTCTGCAAGTATATGTAAATGGATGGTAATGTTTCATGGTAATTATTGTGAGTTTCAATAAAGTTACTACAAAAAAGAACAGTGAAATAAATTCAAAAGCATTTTGATTGTGGCAGGACCAGGTTGGCATTGAAGAAGAGACAAAATTTGAATGTTTAATGGTACACCTACTGGTAGACCTCTTGAAATAAATTTGAATTAGAAACTGAAACTGAAATACTCATACTTTGTTTTAAATTATAGTTTACCCTCACTTTAATGAAATAATTATGCATTTTTTTGTTGAGTCTTATAATTTAAAAAGTCAAATGTAAATTCTTAGGGCTTGTTTGGTTGAAATTTGTTTTATTACCTCCATTTTTCTGTAATAAGCATAAAGATCTTCAATGTACTCAACAACTGCAAGAGGATTCTTTGCATCCCCACTGTCAATATCCAACAACAAACTCTCTTCAAATATGTCCTCCATTTCAACCTCTTCCTGCAGAGATCCATAGTAAATAAATAAAATAAAGAATAAAAAAACTATACCTATAAAGATGCCAACTCATTTTGGAAAAAAAATAAAATTATTACCATTTGACCCTTTTCCTTTGAATCAATAATATCTGTTGGCTCCAGAGCCATAGGGACTGGATGGTCTTTATCACCAGCTCCTTCTTCTTCATCCTCCCATATCCTGCATTCTTCAGCCACAGTTCTTGGTTTCTTGCTTTCCTGCCCAATCTCAACAATTAGCATTCTAATTTTTAGAAGAATAATTTTTTTTAAACCTCAGAATGAGAACAAGTTCTTGGTACCTCATGGCAATGTTGCTGCTGAGAGCTTGCAATTTGAGCAGCAAATTTTCTGAATTCAGAATTAAAAAAAAAGACACAAAAATCAGTTCACTAATCTAAAAGCAACAATCCAAGAATCCCAGATTTTCTGGGTAAAAAAAGCAGAGTTCAGAATTTAAAAAAAAAAAATCATAAAAATCAGTTCACTGATCCATACTCCAAGAATGAAGAATCCCATATTATATATATATTTCACAGGAAATTTCTAAATCTCTTATCTGACCTTGTGATTGGCCTATTAGTTGGCACAACAGCATTCTTCTCACTGATCCCACAAGAAAATACAGAGTAAATAATCACACACAAAAAACGGATCTTTCAATAAATAAATAAATAGAAATATTTGGATTCTTAGGAGAATTACTCTGATGTTCCTCTCTTAGAAACAACACATGGGTATGAATGATTAGCAACCAAGTTCTGATTAATCACGCCCAGAACTCTCCTGTTCTGCCGCCCTTGCATCCCAATCTTTCTTCCATCCATCTCAACCCCACCTTCCATCCATCAAATAAAGAATAAAAATAAATAAAAAATAATAATAATCAAACAAAATTCTAGATTCTGCCCCTTCGAATTAGACTCCGAATTCAAATTCAAATTTACAAAAAAAGAAAAGAAAAAGAAAAATAGAGACAGAGATTTGACCCCACACACACAACACACACAAAAGACTTTCCTTCCTTAGGAAAATAATTCGGCTAAAAAAAAGGCAATGGAAAGATTGAAAAAGATCCAACCTTTTTCTATAAATAAATCTTTTTTCTTATTTATACATTTAAAAAAGAACAAATTCTTACCTTGATGAACTCTGGGTTTAATCCAGGGGCGATTGTTCTCGCCAGATATAACCATGTTTTCTTGATCCATCCGTCCCAAATTCCCAAAAAGCCCCCTCCAAGAACGATCTAACACCAGAAACAAAGAATCTCTCTCCCTCCTCTCAGGGCTCTTCAACCATCTACGAGACTGGGAAGAAGAAGAAGAAGAAGAAGAGAGAAGAGCGGGCTCTTGTCTGGGCGATTGATTAGTGATTATTCTTATGCTTAATGAAAATGTGGAAGTTTGGGTCTTTTTATTCAAATCCAACGGCTAGTAAAGGAAATTTTGGGCTATGGGTCCGACCCTGCCCCCAAACGGCTATGGGCCACAACGGTCATTTTTGGGGAGTTCTTGTGATGTGGCAATCAGTTTTGCTTGACAGAGAGAGAAAAATGGGAGAGAAGAAGAGGATGAGATTGCAGAGAGAGAGACGTTGCTTTCAAATTATAAAGGTTTTATTTTTTTTAATCAAGAAATTATTATTATTATTATGGTGGTTAAGGAGTGAGAGAGGGAGGGGTTAAATGAAGGCAGGCAATATAGTAAGTCACTTATCACTTTTCTTAAATTGATTGAATTAATTAAAGTCTAATGGTGGTGTGGTTAATTAATTGAATGGATGATGGATTTTGATTGAGGATTGTTAAATTCTGCCATTAAAAAAAAGTTACTGTTTTCTTTTTTAAAAATTTTCAACATTCATTTATTCACCCGTCTATTTTGTGTTTTTTGGTTGCTTCCTTTGAAAATTGAAAATGTGATTATTGAGGACCAACAAGGTTGAAAGGACATTGCTATTTAATTTGGAATGAAAGATCACATGTTCAAATTTCAACAGAGGAGGTAGTTCTCTATGATTCGATATACTCCCTATTGAACAAATGTATAAATAAATACACCAAGGTTTCCATTACATTGTCCGGTAATGTCATGAGATGACCCGGGGATGCTCTGGTGCCTCATTAATAAAATTGACGGTTCCTACTCTCCAACCCCCCTAGAATCATAAATTTTGTTAATAAAAACTCTTTCTTTTTCAATATATTTGTCCAGATTGATTTTTTCGAGACAAATTGTATGAACTTTGTATCTCATCTCAATTAAACAAAAAGGGTAATGCAGATTTGTATAAAAATGATTTTATAACATTTATCTTGCTAAGAAATCAAAATTTTATTTTATAAAACTACTGTGCAATACACATTGAGAGTAATTAAAGTTCAAAATTTGTTTAATTTGACTTTTTAAAGTCAAACTGGACGCCGTGGACGGAAGTAGTGTTTAGTATGGAGTACATACTTCTTTCTCTCTTCTTTGAGTGCTAGGAAGTCGTCTCTCCAAAATTCATGACTCAGGTTCGATTCCAAAATTGGTGTGTCTTAAATATGAACAAACATGGAGTACCATGTTGTACTCCCTCTGTCCTCATTGATCATCTCAGATAATATCTACACGGTTAAACTTTATTCATTTTGTTTGCTTATTTTTATTCGTGTTACGTATTTTATAAAATAATACAGAATATAATTTTGTCATTTCTTGTTTTGTACATCTTTTCATATAATTTTTTACTATATAAATTTTATCTTAAGATTTGCACAATTATAATCAAATGAATTAAATTGAAAATGAAGTCATCAAATTTGGTAAGGTATGATAAAAAGATTTATGAGAGTAATGAATTTAATAAAATTAAGGACCCTTATCAAAAAAGAATACTGCCCTAACCTTTTTTTCTGCAAGGATGCGCTCTTGCCCACTATGGGTTATACACGCTGTCCTTTTCTTGGTAGGGCACACTCTAAAATGGCTCTTTCATGAAGGATGTGCCCTTCACATTGCATAGTCCTCGCACTAACAAAATTAAATTTTGATCGTAAATTAATGGCAGATGATGAAATCTACATGTGATTAACGTTAAATTCTTGTGTTTAACGTAATTGTCTCGTCACATAGTTACTAGAAATTAAACTCAAGTCTATCCCTTGAGACTTATTGCATTTTCCTATGGAGAATTAACCTAATCAAGACTAAAACATAATGACTTTTTTAATATAGAATCATATATTTTTATTTTCCAATGTAGGACCATTGATCATTATCCATTAGTCATTATTCAAGTGAATGTCTACCATCACTGGACATTATTCCTCCAACTAGACATTACTCCCTCCGTCCTAAAATTAACTTCTCACTTTCCTTTTCGGGCCGTCCTAAAATTAACTTCTCACTTTCTAAAAAAGGTAAATTTTCCTTATCAAAAGACACAAATACCCTTACAATTAAATCTCCAACCTCCAACCACTACCAACCCACAATTAATCAATAACCCCCACCCTTCATTCTTATCCATCACGAATCATCTAGCTTTACCATTTGCACTTCTCACCAGATCTAATCTAGATCCAATTTGGCCACCCTTTTGAGAATCGTACCTCTCTCCCTTTCCATTTCTTGATTCCTTTGTAATTTTTCTTTACTTTTTTCTCTGTTTTTACTGAAAGTGAGATTCAATTCCAAGGGCCGGCGTTAGAGAGGAGGACGACGCTTCCTTCTTCATACAAGCCACTGGCTTTATTTATCACAGATAGTGAGGAGGACGACGCTTCCTTCTCTCTAATCGCATTCATCTCTTTGTCAGCTTTTCTCAGGTAATTTTATGGAATTAAATCTAGCAGTATACATTTTTTTACTGTGTAACATGTTAGGTTAGAGATTGCCTTTTTAATGAAATTAATTCTTATCCAGATTATTAATTGGGGATCTTGTCCTTGGGCCTTGGCTTGATGCAACTGGGAGCAAATTAGGTATGTTTGGTACGGAGTAGTTTATTTGTTTTGTTAATGGAGTATTTCATGGCACAAATTATCCTCCGATAGCAATTAGGTCTGTTTGCTAGTGTACTCATTTTGCTTGCTATTTTATTTTTATGCTTCATCTGATTCTTGCATCAAAATCAGAGTAACTTCTTGTTCTTTTTTTTGTTTTCCAGACACTTCTCTTTTCCA